ACAATAATTCTTTAACTACTTCTGATCATCATATTTTCTTTTCAAAGAGGTTTTTCAAGACAGTAAAATTGCTTAGAAGTATTCAGCAAGTTAAACTAAAACAAGGGTTGTTATAAACAAATCATTTGCTCCACATTGTCAAAATTAAATTGTTGAACATTGTAAGATCCATCCATATTCCTTAGGCACTGTAAGATCCATCCAAATTTCTTAGGCACAACCATATATGTATGAAAATATTTGTTGCTGACTAATCAAAAACAATAACATGTCATTTTTTTGATATGGCATCTTAACATCTCAGGGGCTATTCTAGACTGTTTTTGATGGTGTTGAACGTATTTGGGCGTCGATTTAAGCTCCGCCCCTAATTAAAATTTGAGAATCTTTTTTTTTTTTTAACGGCTAATATTGCTTTTTTCACGAAAAAACGCCAATATTCCACTAAATTTCTCCAGGATGGGGGAGAAATTTAGTGGAATATCGCCGCTAAATTTCTCCCCCATTAAGCACTACCCAAATTTTTCCTAGAATAGCTTCTGCATCTGGAGTTAGTTGTGCAAAGGCTGCTGTTATTTTTTCTGCTATAGCAAAAAAATTGTAATTATATATATATATATATATATATATATATATATATATATATATATATATATATATATATATATATATATATATATATCAAGATTCATTTTGAATACTTTAGCCTCTTCAAAAACATTACCATCAAAATCTTTAAATTCTGATAATCCCTAAGCTCTTAATAAAATTTATCAGGTTTAATACCTGATGATTTAAATATTGAACATGCTCCACTTATATATATATATATATATATATATATATATATATATATATATATATATATATATATATATATATATATATATATATATAAATATATATATATATATATATATATATATAAGTGGAGCATGTTCAATATTTAAATCATCAGGTATTAAACCTGATAAATTTTATTAAGAGCTTAGGGATTATCAGAATTTAAAGATTTTGATGGTAATGTTTTTGAAGAGGCTAAAGTATTCAAAATGAATCTTGATGATATTGGAGGTGAACCCTTATTTCTTATAGAATCAACATTTTATGGTACCATAATTCAAAAATAATCATTCCAAATACTTTTTTAAACATTTCAATTGCTACCAAAATAGCTGAAATTGTCCTTATTTTTCCTCACACTAATGCTGAATTATAAAGGGTTCTTATTATTATAAAAAAACAAATCTGCATTTAAGATGAATGGAACTTAACCAAGTATTCTAACTATGAAAACAATGTGCCTGTGTAATATGTGCCCAATATATAGTTGAACAGCTGAACAGCTGTTAAAAACCTCAAAGAAAGCAACAAAAATTTACAATTCTAATCATAATGAATAAATATGAGTTATTTATCAAGTATAACTTATCATACTTAGTTCAATAACAAAAAATAAAAAACACAACACATACTATTTTAATTTTTCTTGTTTGAAAAAAACTGCTTTTTAAATTTTATGTTTATCCAGGTTTCTATATAAATCTCAAGTTTTTTTTAATGTATCTCAAGGTTAAAAAAAAAATTTGGAAGGTTTGTTATTACTTTGTAATAAAGTCTTTAAAAAAAGTTATCAGTGTAGAATAACTAGATATACTTTTGATTAGACTAAAATACTGATTTTTCAAACAATAATTGCACCAGACTATTAGTACTATGTCACTCTCATATTATGGACAAGGTAGTAACAAACTTAGAAAACATGATTGTATTACAAAAGATGTGGGTTGAAAATAAAGATATGCATAGTCATTGACCTTATTTGTATTTTTGAGACAGTTTTATTTTTTTTATATGTATACAAAACCTAACATGTCATGGAGCTAATGTGTCTGTTATATATATATATATATATATATATATATATATATATATATATATATATATATATATATATATATATATATATATATATTGCATTAAAAAGCCAGTATGTTTTAATACCATATCAGCTTTTTTATGTTATTTTATAAAAAATTCCTTTTTTGCAAGATGGCAACCTCCGAAGGTTTTTACCTACTGTTATGTGGTTACCCTCTTATGTGAATAACAATAGTTTTTCTAAAATTGTCTTATATCAGGCATATCTATCAGCTCACTCTTTTTTTAATTTTTCATAATGATATACTCTGAATAAAAAGAAGAAAAAAAAACTTATATTTGAATATTTGGTCAAAAGGTTATAAAAATCATTATGTAAATTATTATGTAAATTATTATTTTTTTGTTCAAAAAAACATAAAAAAATTTTGGGTTGTGGATGAAATAATGAGTTTTTTTATTATTTTTTAAGGCCAGATGAATTTATTTCATGTGATGACCCAATACAAGTAAACGATACAACACGAGAAACACTTGGATATGGATGTAATAGAGTGGGTTGCATTATTTTATAAGAGAAATATAATTCTTTTTCTATAAGTTGGTATATATTTATGTGTTGATTTTTTGATTATTTTTTTGGCAATACTGATGGCCATTTTTAAAAATTGTGCTCTAAAATTTGTATATGTTATGTCTATCATATAGTAGATAAATAAACTTTAATCTTTAAAAAAACATAAATTTTATTGTACAGTTTTTCTTTTAAATATTGTTCATATGTTAGTAAAAAATTTAAAGAAGTTACAGAATTGCACTATGTATCACAGAGTCACAACAATTATTCAAATGCAATTCTCACATGATCACACAAAGAAGTCACCCATAGATATTACAAATTTGTCTAGTTTGTGTAGTTATTTATATGAAAATAAGTTGCTTTTGTTTCAAAAAAAAGATTATATCTTTTCAGTTAGTATTTAATTCATACAACTCATATTTTTTATTTTCATACAACTTGTTTTAAGTATTTAAAAAATCTTTTGAAGTATTTTTCAAACTATTGCAACATTAATACAATATATTTTAATTATTTTAATAATAAAATAATTTAAATATATTAATCATTTAGGTAACATAAAATATGATAAAGATATTTTTGTTATAAATGTTCTTTAAAATAATCATATTAGTGTGTATATGCTTCAAATATAAAATTTCCAAGTATAAAAACAAATAAAAAGAAAAAATCATGCGTAGAAATAAATATGCTGTTATGAATAAATTATTTAGTACACAAATGACTTTAGTAGCATTGTTTAACAGGAATTCAGGAAAAAAAATATTTATATTAGATTACAAAATTAGTCTATCAGTTAGGTAACAATGTAATTCACAGAAAACTTAACTTAACTTGCCGTTAACTTGCAATGCTTAGTTATGTTTAAATACAAACTGGTGTTGCTGAAAGTACCAACATGAAAGACAAATGCAAGATGCAAGATGCAAGATATAAATAAAGACTGTCAGTTTTGTAAACTATAAATATTAAAGATGCAAGTTTCAAAGGTTTTATAGCTGTCATAAAATTAATAAAATATAAAAAATGTTTTTTAAGCAATAATTAAAAATTTTTTAATTTTGATTGTGAAAAAAATATTTTCTATTTAAGTTATTTTTTTACAAATAATATTTTAATTCAAGAGTTATAATTATATTAATTTTATTATATTTATATTTTTATGTCCATATTTTTTATTAATTTTTTATTAATAGTATGGAAAGATTCGTTATGAAGATGTGCAGTTCACAAAAGTTTTTTGTCATGCTCTTGAAGGTATAGAGTGTTATGGCAATAGAACATTTCTTAGAGGAAATGTACCATGTATCAAGTAGGTATTTACATCATTAGTGTTGTTTTTGTATAGTAAAGTTTTATATATATATATGTGTATATATATATAATATATATATATATATATATATATATATATATACATATATATATATATATATATATATATATATATATATATATATATATATATATATATATATATATATATATATATATATAATATATATATATATATATATATATATATATATATATATATATAGGCCTCGGTGGGAAGCGAGAGCTTTAGCTCTCCCTTCCCACCGAGGAAGTAAAAAAGAAAGAAATTACGAAGAAAAAAAAAGAAAGAAATTACGGGAGCAATTTACTGCTCTCGCAAAAGTAAAAAAATTTTACGAAAGTATAATTATTGTTGTAACTAAAATAAAAAACACAATGTCATTTAAAAAAAACTAGTTGCATAATATTCTGCCATGCTTTTTAAAAAGCATGGTTGTTGCAACAAAAAAATTAAATATAAAAAAGAACACCAATTTAAATGAGGAGCAGCTCGCACAGCTCCCTAAGTTCGTTTTAGGAGAGCTTTTTTCTGCTCTCGTGCTCATTTATTCCTGCTGAGGCCTGTATATGTATATATATATATATTCATATATATATATATATATATATATATATATATATATATATATATATATATATATATATATATATATATATATATATATATATATATATATATATATATAAATATATATATATATATATATATATATATATATATATATATATATATATATATATATATATATATATATATATATATATATATATATATATATATATATATATATATATGATATATATATATATATATATATATATATATATATATATATATATATATATATATATATATATATATATATATATATATATATATATATATATATATATATATATATATATATATATATATATATATATGAATATATGAATATATATATATAGAGAGAGAGAGATTTTTTTTATTTAATTTTTTTTTTAGATACACTGGCCATTGCTTTGTAACCACACTTTTGTATTCAGTTGTACTAGGTTTTTTTGGTGTTGATCGCTTTTGTTTGGGTCATACAGGGACAGCAGTTGGAAAGTTATTGACTTTAGGTGGATTGGGTATTTGGTGGTTTGTTGACATAATTCTTTTAGTCATAGGCGAATTGCAACCTGCTGATAACAGCAACTGGAATCCCTATTATTAACCTGCTGACAACTGCAACTGAAATCCCTATTATTAAAAAACATTTTATAAAACATGTGCTGTGGATTTTTTGTTGTTGTTGTATATTAGTATTTATAAGTTATATATTTTATGTTATGTTATTTTATATATATATAATTATATAAATTTGTTAATATTATTCTGAAACTTTATCAATATAATTTGATGTAAACAGTTCCATGATCATTTAATTAATAATATACAATTTAGTAATATGCATTTTAGAACTGTGTTAATGTGAGGGCAACATCACAATGTTGTAGTGTGTTGATGTGATGACAACATTGCAATGTAGTTGTTTGTTAATGTGATCATAAAATTGCAATCTATTTGTTTGTTGATGTGATGACAGCATTGCAATGTAGTAGTTTGTTTATGTGATCACACCATTACAATGAAGTAATATGTTGAAGTGATAACATTGCAATATATTGATATGACAGCATTACAATGTAGTAGTTTGTAAATGTAATCACAACATTACAATGTTCTGGTACTACTCAACATTTTTTTTTTTTGCAATGTGTTTGGTAAGATTATGTCATATTTATGATAAGATAATATTTATACTTAACAAGTTTTTATTAGAATTTTTGTGTTGAAACAAAGAAAGTGTTGAAACAAAGTTTTAGAATAAAGATTTTGATCAAAGAAGTGTTAATATATATAGAGTGAGAAATAAAGAAAAGTTTTTTTTTAATTCTTTTTATTTATTATTTACTATTACCATACCACTGCCCCATTTTTAAAATGTAAATTTACAAAAATGAAACATTTTACTGGCAATAGGTTTTTCATATATTAATTATCACGTTTAAAAGTTATTTTTTTATACAAAAATATTATAAAAGTTATATTAAAAAGGTTATTTATTAAAAATTATAAAAAAGTATAAAAGTTGATCATTTATAAAGTTTTCAAACTAAGCAAAGTAGACTAAAAATCAAATTTATGGTAAGATTTTTATAAATGATCAATATATACTTTCTTGACACTTTTTAAATGTGGCTGCTTTCTCCCATAGGATCTTTAGTTTATAATGTTACATAAAAAATGTTGTATAATTTTTGTTATGAATCAGATTTTTGGGGTACAAAGAAAAAATTTCATAATATGAAACTAAAATCTGAATGTTGTGATTTATTAAAATTTGCCACACTTTTTGGAACTATTTTTATTTTTGATGAAAAAAAGTGTATAAATTTAGTTTTGTTTTTGATTTAAATTATTTTATTTTCACCCCTAGTGTTGTAAATTTATAGTTTTTAAAGGTACTTGAAAATTTAAAATTAAATTAGCGAAATTAGGAAAATGTGACATTGAAATAAGATAAAGTATTTGGTTTAATATAGTCCTTATGTCTCTTATTTTTGGAGCTCCTGGGCACAAAAAAAAAGACCTGGGTACAAAAATTATGATTTTGTGACTTTTAAAACTTTTTGGAGACTACTATTGTAGTTGAGAAGAATGAAAGTGTCAAAATAAATGTAAATCATTAAAATTAATTTGCTTTTGGGTTGAGAGGCAGAAACTGGACATTGAGAGACAGAAACTAGACACAAAAACTTGACAATATGTGTAAAAATCATTATATTGTAATACATTTGTAATTTAAGTGTATATATGTAAGTGTATGTATATGTAATACATTTGTAATTTGTATTACAAATGTATAACAATATAATGGTTTACAATGTAAACCATTATATAGTAAATTGGATGCTGAAATTATAGTATAGATAATAATAACATTGATAATAAAATAAATAATAAAAATAATAATAAAAGCTCATTACATTTAAAATCTTACTTTAAATTTTTTCAATTATGCTTTTTATAATTATGAGTTTTTATGAAAAAAGTTGTTAATGCATTAGAAAAATGTTTAGGTGGTAGTGATGTAGTAAAGCACCTGCTCCACAATTTTGAAAAAAATAGTTGCCTCCTCACTTGTAGTGGTATTATGAATAGCATTTTTAAAATTTGAAGAAATATAAAGAGTTATTCAAATTAAGATCATAGTCTTCAAAAAAATTTTTTTTTTTTTTTTTTTTTATTTTGTTATTCACCTCCCCAAGGCTGAAAAAGCCACTATAATTAAGTAGGCTACTTAATTTTGGTTGCAACCTCTCAACTCTCTAAACTCTTTAACACTGCAACAAACAAGTTGAGCAAAGTACTACTTGGACATGGTGGGGATCAAACTATTGCTTATGAAACGAAGGTTCTACCACTATGCCACTGCAGCAATTATAATTTACAATTTTTAAAAGTACTAAAAATGTAAATTTATTATGAAACGAAGGTTCTACCACTATGCCACTGCAGCAATTATAATTTACAATTTTTAAAAGTACTAAAAATGTAAATTTATATTAAAAGTTTAAAAAAATTTTGAAAAATATTACAAAAAATCAGGCATGGAAAAAAAACTGAAATAGTTCATATTATTAGTATCTAACCTGCATAGTGCCCCTGTAAATTAGAGCTTCCCTACATAGTGTCCCATATATAGCACTCCTAGTGCTTTGCTTACATAGTGCTTTCCTTGCATAGTGCTTTCTATAAATACGATTCTGCAAAGTACTCTTTATAAATAAACAATTAAAGTTGTGTATAAAAAACGTTTTTGATTTGAAATTGTTGATTTAAAAATAGTTGATTAAAGTTTAACTATTTTTAATCAATTTAATAAAAATAAATAAAGAGCACAGTTTACAACAATATTGATGCATTTGTCACATAAGATTAAAATATCCAGGAGGCGTTTAAGGAATATATGAAATAACATAAAGTAGGTGGTAGGTGGCATATTTAAAGTGACAGTTTATTAATTATTACATACAGTTACTGATGATTATGATAATTTTTTTTTTTTTTAAGATTTTTTTCACCTTTTTAGTTTTTTAGATTTTTTAGTTGAAAATAATGAATGAATAATGTATAATGAACCTATAAACATGTTAAAATGAGTTTAAATCCTCAAGTTCAATCACCACAGCTCAATATTTCTCAACTAGTGAGTTCTACTCAACAAATAAGTTCTTCACAAAAGCTTTCTCAACAAAGTGACAGTATAATGCAGCTTCTTGATCAATTAGAACAGCAGTTTAGTTTACTTAATGGAGATGTCAATCTGCATGGTTTTGTTTTAGATGCAGAAAAACTTCTTCAAAAATTACACAATTCATTTCTTGAAAAAAACTTATTAAGTCTTCCAGCTGATGATCAAGATAGCAGAGACCTTACTACCATGTTACAACAGCTTGTAGATTTCAATAAACAATCTTTAGTTCTTAAACAAGCCAATTTGGGTTTGATATCAAAAACAATGGGAAATAAATAATTTTGTAATAAAAATATCACATAATAATTCAAACATTTTAAAATAATGATAAAAGTCAAAAAATGTATTTTTTAATTGTTTCATTTGGTGATTTTTCTTTTAAGTTGTTTGTTTGGGTTTTTTTTAATGATTTTTTTATGTTAAGCTTTTTATGTTATGACATATTTCTTATAATTTATGAATTTTGTTTATAGTTTTTTTTTAAATTTATGACTTTTTTTGTTTATTTAACTAATGTTGTTGATTGACTTAATCAAATTGTTAAAGCAATGATGTTGGTTTATCAAAATAGAAAATAAAAAAATGCAAAAAATATTAAATTTATTAAATTTTTTTCATCTTCTGATTTTTTCTTTTTGATTTATTTTTAAATGAAAAAAAAAAGGTTTAAAATTTAAAATTTAAAAATGAAAAAATTTATATCATTTTACTTTCAACTTTTTTTTTTGCTTTTTCATAAACTGAATATAATGATTTATTTTATATCTTTTTTTTGTTTATTTACATACGTTTCCATTAGTTTTTGTATTTAACTTTTAGTTAATAAAAATCTATTATTTTTATAACGTTATAATGGATGGTTACATTACAGTGTTACGTAATGGATTTTCACATACTGGACTGGTAGAATTTTATAATTTTTTTTTCAAACTATTTCAATTTTAATCATTTGTTTTTGAATATAAAAGGTGTGTATTTATACAGGTAATAGCTTTTTAAGGATATATGGTGTATAGCATATTTTTAAGGATTTAAAAAAAATTTTAGGAGTTAAAATTGCCATTGTCGCTTTCCGATTTATTAAAAATTTCTACGGAGCATTTTGGAGAAAATATCCAAACCTTTTACCAAGGAGATGGATGTTTGTTAAAATCTGTTGAGTTATTGAGGTAAATTTTTAGTAAATATTTTACAACTATATAATATATAATTTTTAGTAAGTATTTTACAACTATATAATATATAATTGAAACATCAATAAGAAATTTGAAAAAACTCTTTTTTTATTTTCTTTTTGAAAATAAAGTTTTTCTTCTACTGGCAGTTTATTATGTTTATGATGCTTTCTGAAGTTTTAGGCATATGAAACTGCCAGTATATAAAGTTGGTAATTTCAAAACTATTGGCTTCCTAATAAAGTTTAAGATGCTCTTTTTCTAGGTAGGAAGGTTCTAAGTATCACTTTTAGTTTTGAAAAAGACTCTTATCAATCTTTTAAAAACCTCATGGCAAACATCTTCAACAAATACACACCTGAAATCTTAATGGTTTCCTGACTCATACTATTTACAATTTTAAAGTCTTTTTTTAACATTTTTCTTGCGCTTTAACTTTAGTTGCTTGCATCCTTGTTGGAAGTCACGTCCTGTTGGAAACTATTATGTCCTGTTGGAAACCCAATAGGTAGAGATCCAACATAACTTGCATGTCATCTTAGGACTCATTCTAAGTGAAATTTCAAAATAAAAAATTGTTTTTTTTAAATAATCTTTTTATAAAAAAAACCTTTTATTTTAATAAAAAAAAATTTTTATTTTTTGTTAAAAAGTATAAATTTGAATGAAGCAAGATTCATTTTAGATTTTATATATATATATATATATACATATATATATATATATATATATATATATATATATATATATATATATATATATATATATATATATATATATATATATATATATATATATATATATATATATATATATATATATATATATTGGTGTTGCTATCAACTAAATTATATATTAGTGATTAAATAAATATACTAAAAATGAACAAAAGCTGATATTTTATATACTTCTATTTATTTTTATTTCTGTTTGTTTTTTTATATTTATATACTTTTCTTAAAAGTGCAAATAAAATTTATTTAAAAGATAAAATTTAATAAAATTTTTTATTTAAAATTAAAACTTTTTTTCTTTTAAGAGATCGTGACATTTTGTTTGCAGCATGTTATGAATCATTTAAAGGTGAGATTGTGTTATTTTTATTTATTTACTGCTCATCATCTTGTTAATTGTTGTATAAATAAGTTGATTGTTGTACACATGTATGTTGTTGTCTGTTTTTACCTTTTGATTCCAAAATACGAATCTTGATGAACCAAGATTTCTTTTAATTAAAATGATATATTTATGACTATAATGGATTTAGGTGCAGAGATAACCAAGCAAATCGAGTTAAAAGATGGTAGATGTAAAGACCAACAGATTTTATGTAGGATCAACAGATTTTATTTTAAAAATTCTTTTTTTTTTATGTCGAAGTTATTTTTTTTTTTTATCTTTATTTTTATAGCTTCCATACAGTTATCTGGATGGATAAAATTAAATGTAGGTGGTAGGTGTTTTACTACAACCAGGTGACTTTTTTATATTCTATACATTGCTTTGTATAACATTGTATATAGAAAAAAGATGTTATATATGATATATAAACAATTAAATTTCTTAATAAAAATAGTCAAATATAAAGTTTTTGATAAAATGATTTTTATGAAGAGAAGTCTTAATCCACTGTTTTTAAGAAATGTCAGAATTAATTATGGAATTCTTGGAATTTTAAAAATATTTATTATATATATTATTATAATATTATTATTTCAAATAAATATTTCAATTTAAATATTATTTCCAATAAACACTCCAGATTTTAGAAAAAGTTTTGATCTTTATTTTAATAGATCTTTATTTTAATAGTTTAAAGGAAGAAAAAAAATTAAAATAATAAAAATAACTTATTTTATAAGAATGTCCTTTGTACTTAAATTTCGCCTACTCAAATCCTAACTTTCGATGTATTGTTGTCATTAGTAACATTTTTTAAGCTATGTATTGTTGTCATCAGTAACATTTCTTAGTTGATGTATTTTTTGCTGTCATCCGTATTATTTCTTGCTTAGCTTAATTTAAGTTAAAAAAAAATAGATTTGGTTGTTTTTTGTATGTCTTATCGTATATTCCCAATATTATCTTGTTTTATCTACAAATGTAATAAAATTTTCTATCTAATAAATAAAATAAAATTAATACAAAAAGTATATATTTAAATAAATACAACGTTCTACCTGATATATTATATTATTTGGTTTTAAATTAGGAATACATTGACAAAGTACCATGGAACAATGCTTGAAAGGATGTTCAGTAACCAAGGTGATTTGACTTTTAATTTGCTTTTTTTTCTGTATTTCATAAGAAATATTTTATAAGAAATGATTTTTAAAACATAGAACATTGGCATAGTGCAATTGATTCAAATGGATGTTATTTGATTGATCGTAGCCCTGATTTTTTTGAGCCAATACTTAATTATATGCGAAATGGAGTTCTTATTATAAATGATGGTATAAATCCAAAAGGTAAATTTTTGAAATCTGTGTATAAATATAAGGGGTCACTAAAAATAATATTAATTCAAATTTTATCATTTTATAAAAACATAATTAGTTGTTAATATAGTCTTTGTTATATGTATTACAATATTTTATAATTTTTTAGTAAATATTTTCTTTCCATTGTTAATATAGTCTTTGTTATATGTATTACAATATTTATAAATTTTTTAGTAAATATTTCCTTTCTAGAAAAAATACTTTTTATTTCAAATTTTTTTATCATAAATCCAAAGCTTTTGGCTAGGCAACTGTTTTTCTATGAAATTGCCTTATTCTCTCAATGAAAAATATAGTTGGTCAAAAAAACCAAACAAATGATATATCACCATTTGATGCTGGGTATGAGGGTTAGTCACAGTTGTGTTTATTTCTAGTTAAAACAAGTTTTGTACATGAGTTTTTTTTAATATAAAAAAAAAGTTATATTTAAACATCTTCACTTCCAACAAGGCTACAAGCAACCACTACTAGAGTTGAGAGTTACTGAAGAAGAAAAGATGAAGTTTAAGAAGCAAGAGAACAATTAACATTAATTTGGTATACGGTTTCCAAGAAAGGTCAGAAGTAAGAGCTAATCCTAAAAGACAAAGAGTAGGTGACTCATCAAGTACATTACAGCTCATAAATATAGGAAGTTCTAGATTATTGCTTGCTACCACAGAGTTTGGGAAACCTGACTACCAGCCAGCTCAGAACCATAAAACTGAGTTTTAGAACTGTATTTTCATAAGGAGATAATAAAATTAGTTGCCTAGTCATTAGGTATACTTTTCTATTTTTTTCTGTACATTGACTGGTATAGCCATAGGTGAAGTAGAGTGTACATTCATCAACAGACTAAAATAATGGTGACAACAGAGAGAAGGTAGATTGACTCTAGGGCATGCAATACAGGTTTCAGTACAACTTGTAATACTAGCGTTTGCTTTAATACCAATATAATGATGTTTGGTATTACTGGTATTAATTCTCATATTTTCTGGGTATATGTATTATCATTTTTATTCAATATCTTTTGAATTGCCTTGTTTTTTCTCATTTAGTTATATATTTATAAACTAATTTATGTATTATCCTAAATTAACTTATTTTTAAATTTTAAAACTTGTTTAATTAGTTTTTGTCCAAACTTTTTTGAACTAAAAACATGTCAGGCATCTTTAAATATGCAAAGTGTCACTCTATCCATAGGAAAGAGAATACAAATTTCTAAAAAAAGGAATAAATATTGCTATTAAATCAATTTTTTATAAACATTAACAACTCCTTCCTCATTCCTTTAATATTAACAAATAATTACCTTAAGACATTAACAATGAATGATTTATTTACTTTAGCCAATTAGTAATGATTGCTACGCAAATAATTCTCTTATTTTTACCTGAAGAAATTATTGAGTGAATGTTACAATAGTGGTATAGGTAAACTTAAGAATAAAAGTGATAAACATTTAACATTATATAGATTCTATAATTAATTGTAATATTAGTGTAAATCTATATAAATTAATGTTGTATACTTAACATGTATACAACATTAACAAATAATGTTGTAGACATAACATGTGTGTGTAAATTCTTATGAGATAATTAACATATAAATAAATTCTTATGAGATAATTAACAAAATATATAAAGTATCAATGTCTTATATTGTAGGCATAACAAGTAATAAATGTCAATTTAAATATATTTAGAGTCTATAAAGCATTTTAATGTTTAATTTTGCACTAATTTAATAAACATCTATGATAATTTCATTTAAAGTTTGTAGAAAAAAACAAAAATAGTATTAATCAAAAAACAGTGTGGCTTCCAAGCATGGCAAAGAACATGGTGTTTGTAACTTTGTTTGGTGTGGAAATTAAATTAAAGCAGCTCGTGGCAACACAAGTAGACTTAATACACATTTGTGAAGTGTACCAAATAAATGTATTAAAAAGAGGTGCTAATAAAGGTACAGAATCCAAAACCTCTGTAAAAAAATTACATGAAAAACTAAACAAATTTAAACCAAGTTATTATTATTTTAATAATAAAACCAATCAATTATTTCCTGCAATTGTTGCATGGTTTGAATGATGGCTTGTCATTTGCAAAATTTAGTTTTTCAACTTTCAGCAGCATCAAACAGATAAAAGCAACAATCTTGAAAGTAACTACTTTGTTGCAATGACATTGACATTTTTATTACGACACCATCACAAGAAACTGTTTTATCATTGAAAGATAAACAGCATAATAATATTAATAAAAAATTAGCAAAATTCCTCAAACTTTAAGCAAATGCATCCTCGATAAAATGTTTAAAAAGTTTCTTTTCTATATAGTATTTTAAATAAACTTTTTATGCGCTTTATTGATTTAATTATATATATATATATATATACATATATATATATATATATATATATATATATATATATATATATATATATATATATATATATATATATATATATATATTGTAGGAATTATGTTAATATTTCCAGTAAGAGTGCTCAATACAGCGTTTTATATAATTAGTAAAGCAAATAATATAGTGGAAACTAAATAATTATTAAGATATATTTCAATTACATAACTAAAAGTTTCACGCAATAGCGATCATCAGATGTAACAACAATAAAAAGTAACGACAAAAATTATATACAAAAAATGCTATGGAGTGTCCGCTTTGATGACATTAAAGTTTTTTATTAGAAATTTATTTTTATGGCGGCATTATGACGCAAGCTCAGTTTGTTTGTTAAGCAAATTCAATGGCGACATAATAATGTGGTATTTTTCTGTCAAGCATAAGTTGCAAAATTTACCACCAGGTTTGAATGGCTCCGCTTGATCAAGGATATTCCATTTTAATATAGGTTCTATACCTTTGTTTTTGCATTCCCACACAAATTTTGAAAGTCCAGTGGAGTTGGCCTTACTTTCATAAACAAAGGAGTTTTTATGTTTACACCACTTGTCTTTGAAAGTTTTCTCAGTAAGCCTAACGTAATAATATCCTTCTTCTTTTTGGTGAGTTTATGCGTTGCAAATATAAATAAGATTTTTTGAAAGGCATTTTCCATTGAGTGGGCATAAGGTGGTTTGCCAACAATTGCATAATTGTTTGGCATTTTCATGAGAATGAAATAATATCTTTTTATTATGAGAAGTAACAATACTCTTGATGTTTGGAAGGCAGCTATAACTAACCTTTAAGTTGTTTCGATTAAAAAGTTTGTGAAATTTGTGGCCTTTAGGGAAATATTAATATATATTTATATATTAACATCAATTCCAATCATCCACCAAGCATTATTATATCGATACCAAAATGATCTCTAACCGCATCAGTAATATATCTTCAAGCGAAGAAGCTTTTGATAGAGCCGCACCATTTTATAATAACGCTCTCAATTCTTGTGGATTCAAAGATAAGATCAATTTTACTCCAAATATCCAGAAATATAATAAAAAATCTCAAAAAAGAAACATTATCTGGTTTAACCCACCTTATTCACTCAACGTCAGAACAAACGTAGCCAAACATTTTTGAGTACAATTGATAAATGTTTCCCTAAAGGCCACAAATTTCACAAACTTTTTAATCGAAACAACTTAAAGGTTAGTTATAGCTGCCTTCCAAACATCAAGAGTATTGTTACTTCTCATAATAAAAAGATATTATTTCATTCTCATGAAAATGCCAAACAATTATGCAATTGTTGGCAAACCACCTTATGCCCACTCAATGGAAAATGTCTTTCAAAAAATCTTATTTATATTTGCAACGCATAAACTCACCAAAAAGAAGAAGGATATTATTACGTTAGGCTTACTGAGAAAACTTTCAAAGACAAGTGGTATAAACATAAAAACTCCTTTGTTTATGAAAGTAAGGCCAACTCCACTGGACTTTCAAAATTTGTGTGGGAATGCAAAAACAAAGGTATAGAACCTATATTAAAATGGAATATCCTTGATCAAGCGGAGCCATTCAAACCTGGTGGTAAATTTTGCAACTTATGCTTGACAGAAAAATACCACATTATTATGTCGCCATTGAATTTGCTTAACAAACAAACTGAGCTTGCGTCATAATGCCGCCATAAAAATAAATTTCTAATAAAAAACTTTAATGTCATCAAAGCGGACACTCCATAGCATTTTTTGTATATAATTTTTGTCGTTACTTTTTATTGTTGTTACATCTGATGATCGCTATTGCGTGAAACTTTTAGTTATGTAATTGAAATATATCTTAATAATTATTTAGTTTCCACTATATATATATATATATATATATATATATATATATATATATATATATATATATATATATATATATATATATATATATATATATATATATATATATATATATATATATATATATATATATACATACATATAGGTCGTTTATGTCAGAGTGAAGCATAAGTTTAGTACTATTAATTTTAAATCTATAGAACGTTTAAAATTAATAGTACTAAACTTGGGTTTCACTCTGACATTAGCGACCTCTTTAAAATATTTCAAAGAAACATGTACCCATCTTAGCTCATTTCAACAATATATAACTCCTATTTAAACAAGATTAATTGAAAACATCATTGATTAGTAAAATGGTTGACACATGTTTTTTGCGTTCAAATTTAAAAGTTTAGTTATAATTTCTTTTGTTTGGTTACTATAGATACTATAACACAAAAATGTATGCAAAATTTATATCTTGATAAAAATGATAAATGTAATATTAGATGTAATTTTTCATTGTTTAAAATTTAAAATAAAATTACTTATAATTACTTAAGTAATTTGAAAAAAACTTAAAATCTAATAAAAGTTTTTTTCTTGTCTTTATAACACAACTGTCATAAAAAGTTTAAATTTGAATTAGATATTTTTAATCAAATCTTCTTCTCACCCAAACCAAATTATATTAATTAAAAACCACTTATATTAATTATTTTGGTG